GCAACTGAGCCGCGAGGCGTCCGAGCCTAGGCCGGTTGAAGAAGAGGTGTGCGACGAGTAGTGCGCACGAGCACGAGGCATGGGCCGACGACGAGAGTGAGAAGATTGTGCTCGGGAAGGTGGGTGATTCGTGTAAGGCGTGCGCAAGAGAGCGACGCACACGGCGAATGCGAGCGAAGGCAAAAGGTGCACGAGGGGAGGATGTAGGGTGGTCAGCGTGCACGGGGCGAGGCTGCGATGGAGCGGACGCGAGAGTGGATTGGGTCGAAGCGATGGGCCCGATAGGCGGGTGCGAGTGGGGCACGAGGACGAAAGCCACGCGCGAGGCGTTGGTCGAGTGGGACGACGAAGGCGATGAAGAGGTCGTGCGCGATACACGCGCACGTGGCTGGGACGCGACCAACGCGATGGACGAGCGAGGAGGTGAGGCCGTGCGAGCGGGAGTGCGAAGCACTCGCGCGGTTGGTGACGACGCGCGAACGGGGGCACGCGGTCGGGCAGCGCTGGCAAGGGGCGACGCGTGGGGATGGCGCGCGCGACAAGGACTAGGAATGGCGGGGCGGCGCGCGATCTCGAGCGGCTAGGATTTGGGCGCGCGACCGACTTGGGGAGCAAGCAAGGGATATGGACGTGATTTACTTAGCTTACTTAGGAGTCATAGTTTAGTTAGGAATCCAAATAAAAGGCATGTGCCTATTAGTTCCTATTAGTCTTTTAGATGTTAGGAAAGTCCATATTCCCTAGATGTTTAGTTGCATTAGGAATTATTTACTTGCATAGATTAGGAGTTCTATTTAGACTAAGATTAGATCTATTTGGTATCTATAAATACCCACCTATGTACCATTCGAAAAGAGAGTTGATGAGTGAATAGAAAAGAGTCGAACATTGTGTTCAAAGTTCTCGTGTGTTTTCTCCTGTGAGTTTACATAGAGTTCGTGAATGGAATAGGACCAACATCCGAGTTTCTACACAGTGATAGAAATAGGACCAACATCCGAGTTTCGTCACACCTATCGCGAAGTACGAAGGCGTCGGCGCGCGTATTAGCAACCTATTGCGAAGGGACCAAGGCGTCGGCGCGGGTTTCGAGCAAGTCGAGCTAGACATAACACACGATCCTTCATCATTGGTGCTTTCATTGAGAGTGANAAAAAAAAAAAAAAAAAGGAGTCGAGTGATGATGACACATAAAGAGAGGATCGAAGCCTTGTTGGAGAGTGTGAAGTCCATCGGCAATGGCCAACACCTTGTCAATGAGAATTTTGCTAAACTCGAGCTCATGGTGCATGATCTAGCCGGGCAACTGACGCGCATGACACGCCGACCACGAAGGTGCCACACCTCGCGATCGACCGCGACATCGAGCAGCCCCGGGACCGACCACCACGACGACGACGGACGATCACGGAGGACCCGCGCATCACGCGCGATGCACCACCACGACGACCGAGGCTATGCACGACCAAAGCTCACGATGCCTACGTTTACGGGGACCGACCCGGACGCTTGGTTGAATCGAGCCATGCAATTTTTCGAGATCAACGAGGTGCACAAGTCCGATAGAGTCAAGATCGCCGCTTATCATCTCGATGGTGAAGCGAACACATGGTGGCAATGGATGTCACATGTGTACAAGACCAAGGGCGAGGAAATTCGGTGGAGAGATTTCGAGAAAGAGTTGGTCACACGATTTGGCACGAGTGACTACTATGACTATGACGAGGCACTCTCCCGGATTCGTCAAAACGGTAGTCTCCGAGACTACCAGAAGGAGTTCGAACGCATCGCAAATCGGGTGCGAGATTGGCCCGAGAACGCATTGGTAGGCGCATTCATTGGAGGACTTAAGGCCGAGCTAGCGGCTGAGGTACGATTGGATAGGCCGCGTACAACTCGGGCGGCAATAGAGTCAGCACGGGTACGCGACGACCATTTGGTCGCGATGCGCAAGGCCAGCAAGGGTGAGGGACGCACGGACCAGCGGCGCACAAGTACCGCGACCGACGAGACACCCACACGGGTCGAGTCCAAGCTAACCGAAGATGGCACGCGAACCACGAGCCACATGCGACGGCTTACGACCGAGGAGATCCAACGAAGACGCGAGAGAGGCTTATGCTTCACTTGCAATGAGAAGTTCACACCAGGCCATAGATGTGCTGGAAAGAAAGTGTTCTTGCTTGAGTTTGATGAGGAGGAGCCAGAACGTGAGGAGTACGAACATGTGGAGCGAAATGAGACCTTGCTACATGTGATCAAAAGCAAGAAAAGAGATGCTGAGAGAGGTCCGAGGATGATCCGATTCACGGCGACCGTACAAGGCGAACAACTCGAAGTACTAGTGGACAGTGGGTCGACATTGAATTTTATAGACAAAGAACTGTCCAAAGGATTGGAAACACCGATGACAAAAGTGAAACAGTTCGGGGTGAAGGTTGCCAACGGAGATGAACTAAGGAGTTCCGAGCTATACAAAGGAGTTCCCATATTTGCACAAGGCTATGACCTGAAGGCTGATCTTTATGCCTTACTTTGACGGGACCGGACATAGTACTTGGCGTTCAATGGCTCGAGACATTGGGATCAGTCACGACAAACTACAAGAGGGGCACTATGACGTTTGGACGAGCCCACAAGCGAATTAAGCTACTAACCGAGGACCCAGGAGAAGAGCCCGAGGAAGTTGACGAGATCAATTACTTTATCCTGGCGGACAAGGAAATTCTCGAAGAGGGCGGGAATGATGCGGATGTGGTCATTGACCCCGGCGAACCCGAGGACGAGAACCACGATGGCCTCGAGAGATGGCGAGAGGTTAGGCGAGAAAGGGCTCGGGCACGGGCTAGGAGGGTGTGCACACGCACTAAGGCGCGTGTACCAACGGGACGCGGCAACCGAGCCGCGAGGCGTGCGAGCCTAGGCCGGGTGAAGAAGAGGTGCGCGACGAGTAGTGCGCACGAGCACGAGGCATGGGCCGACGACGAGAGTGAGAAGATTGTGCTCGGGAAGGTGGGTGATTGGTGCAAGGCGTGCGCAAGAGAGCGACGCGCACGACGAATGCGAGCGAAGGCAAAAGGTGCACGAGGGGAGGATGTAGGGTGGTCAGCGTGCACGGGGCGAGGCTGCGATGGAGCGGACGCGCGAGTGGATTGGGTCGAAGCGATGGGCCCGATAGGCGGGTGCGAGTGGGGCACGAGGACGGAAGCCACGCGCGAGGCGTTGGTCGAGTGGGACGACGAGGGCGATGAAGAGGTCGTGCGCGATACACGCGCACGTGGCTGGGACGCGACCAACGCGATGGACGAGCGAGGAGGTGAGGCCGTGCGAGCGGAAGTGCGAAGCACTCGCGCGGTTGGGGACGACGCGCGAACGGGGGCACGCGGTCGGGCAGCGCTGGCAAGGGGCGACGCATGGGGATGGCGCGCGCGCATTACCGCGCGCGACAAGGACTAGGAATGGCGGGGCGGCACGCGATCTCGAGCGGCTAGGATTTGGGCGCGCGACCGACTTGGGGAGCAAGCAAGGGATATGGACGTGATTTACTTAGCTTAGTTAGGAGTCATAGTTTAGTTAGGAATCCAAATAAAAGGCATGTGCCTATTAGTTCCTATTAGTCTTTTAGATATTAGGAAAGTCCATATTCCCTAGACGTTTAGTTGCATTAGGAATTATTTACTTGCATAGATTAGGAGTTCTATTTAGACTAGGATTAGATCTATTTGGTATCTATAAATACCCACCTATGTACCATTCGAAAAGAGAGTTGATGAGTGAATAGAAAAGAGTCGAACATTGTGTTCAAAGTTCTCGTGTGTTTTCTCTTGTGAGTTTACATAGAGTTCGTGAATGGAATAGGACCAACATCCGAGTTTCTTCACAGTGATAGAAATAGGACCAACATCCGAGTTTCGTCACACCTATCACGAAGTACGAAGGCGTCGGCGCGCGTATTAGCAACCTATTGCGAAGGGACCACGCGGGTTTCGAGCAAGTCGAGCTAGACGTAACACACGATCCTTCATCACAGGGCCAGTGCGTACCCGCGCCAGCGTGCGCGTGGTTCCCGAGTCTGCGACAGCGTGCCAACAGCGCCTGTCCGCGTTGCACCCGGGGTCACGGCGCCCGTCGCGCCCAGCACCTCGACAGCGCCCGGCCGCGCTGTCCACGCCCATGCGCGAGTGGTCCCGAGCCAGTCGCTCGTGCCCCGCGCAGAGTCACCCCGAGAAGCCCCCAGCGTGCGTGGTCACGGCACCCAGCGTGCACGACCCACGCGCACGGCGCCCGGCAGCGTCGTGCCAAGTCCCAGCGCACGAGGTCTCGTGCCAAGTCCAGGGCAGAC